TATAAAACATTGCACACAAATTTTTTCACATTGCATCCTGTATCAAAACCATATCACACTTACAAAGCTGAAAAAAGTTAGGAAAAGGTGAGTATAAAGCTGCCTGTAAAATCTCAGTTGTCCCCTTTTGTCCTCATATAGATGTATATTATATAACCCTTTTTGCATTATCACATTTGATTCCTCTTCCCCCCTTCCCATTTAATATTCTGGAGGAGTCCTTTGAGCTATTCTGCTTCTGTGGCAGACTAGGCACTATTTAGATTGAATCAGTATTGTAGTAAATAAGATTATGAAAATCCTGATTTCTGTATTGCGTAATTTGCTATTGAGTAAGCAGGGAATTTGGGAAGGAGAAGGAGGGATTTATTGTGTGTAGTGAGTTACTTACTAAGGCAGCTCTTGGGAGCTGAATTTTTTTTTCTCTGCCACAAATTATCTGTGGTAGTTCATTCTTCCCCTTATGGCTTGTGGTAGCTTTGAATATGTGGGAAGCTGTTAAAATATGAAGTTTAGAGATGAACATGAATCTTAAATGTCTTTGGACAAAGTTGGCAGCACTGCAGTTTTATCTGTAGTGTTCGTGTGACTGAGTTTGCCATCTGTAACTGAGGATCATAGATCTGTGGGATCTTCATGTTAAGAACGGGGATGTAACACTGAGAAGTGTGGTGGAGAAGCACCTTGGGGAATGAATAATTCCATTACAAGCTACAGAGCTTATATGTGCTCAGTAAATAAGACCTCAGACCTCATTGTTGAACAATAAATAATTGGCATGAAGCAAGCATCCATCTGTTTGAATGAAGGCACTTATTCCTCTCAGAACAACAGATCAGTGAATAAATACAATCCTGTTTGGGTCAATAGGTGAAAAGTATTGAGCTTGCAGCAGAGCACAGACTGTCACTGATGCTTCTCACAGCAGCCTTTCAGTACCTACAGGGGGCTTATAAGAAACATGGGAACAAACTTTTTAGCCAGACCTGCTGCAATAGGGCAAGGGGTAATGGCTTTAAACTAAAAGAGGACAAATTTAGATGAAATATAACGAAGATATTTTTTAGGCTGAGGGTGATAAAACACCTGTCCTGAGAGGTGGTAGATGCCACATCCTTGGGAATATTAACAGTTAGGCTGGACCAGGCTCTGAGCAACCTGATTTAGTTGAAGATGGCCCTGTTCATTGCACGGTTGGACTAGATGACCTTTAAAGGTCCCTTACAACCCAAACTCTTCCATGTTTCTATACTTCTGGGAAAGAACATGATGCAAGTTCTCTGTAGAAGAGTCTTAATTAACAAAGTAAACTTAATTTTTAAAAATTTTGCTAAGATTTACGCAAGTAAAGATACTATGGTTATTAATGTTTAATGTTACACAGAGACACTGAGATTTCATTCTGGCCTGTACTATTGCAGATCTTGAATAGAGCAGGTAAAAACCATACCTAGCACAGCATTCAGGAGAATGGTCTTCAATATAAGATTTTCATGATGGAAACAGATCTTTGCTTGTTCTTTTCCTTAAGCAGAAGAAAAGCCTGTAAAACTTAGACAAGTACTGTTGATGTTTTTACAAGCACCACTTGGAGTATGATCTTACTCTTTCACAGTGTTTACATTATTTTCTTTGCTGGGAAAAGGGATTTCTAACAAATGGATTGAGTGCAGCATAATGACTCACAGTGATGTTTTAGTTTTAAAATTTGAAGGATACATGAGCTTAAAATGAGCAGAGAGACAAGAACAGTGTGCAAAAGAAGGTTCTGATACATCTCTGATTGTGAGCTGTGAATTGGTCTAGAGAGTACTGATTCCTCATGAAATGCAAGTGAAGCAAAAATTACTTCTTGTAAAAAATCTATTTCAGTCAAAGTTGAAATTACTATGTCCTACTGAACCCAAATCTGTATGAAGCATGGCAGGTTCTTTATGGCAGCTTTTCTTCCTTGAAAGATAGCTATTTTCTGGATGTATGTTATGGTTCTCCCACTTAGTTTCATTTATGTGGGTTTTGTGCTTCAGTAAATGTTTTCATAAATTACCTACCTGACCTAAGCCAGCTAAGGTCTCTGGTTACTGGAAGGTGCAGTCCTTGCCAACTCCATCACAATGGCCGTAATACTTGCAAGGTCAGTCAAAATGGGCCCCACTGAAAATTAATATAACCAAAGAAGGCCCCCTAGGGTAGATTTTCAGCCAGATCACTTTTCTGACAGGGAGAGACTAACAGAAACAGGCCTGACAGATGTAACTTGAATTTAGGTCTCTTAAAGTCATTATAAACTGCCTCAGAATTTCCCTGTGCTATCTTTAAACAGATAAAGTCAGAAGCTGTAGCATATATGTAGGATGAAGTACTTTTTCTTGTTTCATACAACTGTTAATCCTGAGAAGCAGTCTAGAGTTCAACTAAGTCATTTCAACAGAAGGAGGAAAGAGTGGGAGACAACTTGCAAGCAATCTGTTCAAATGAAAATTTGTCACTGCTGCAGAAGCTGCTTAAAGATTTTGCCCATTTCCCAAGAAGGCCATTTCACCTATCTTTTCAAGGTTAGACTTGAGTTGAGATGTTCTTACTGGCTCAGCAAAGTCTTAGGCAGAGGCCAGCACTTCCAGTGGTGCAGAACATATTAATTATGTAGTACTTTGTGGTGTGGACCATTGCCTGTCAAAGATCAGTAACAAAGATCACTGTATGCATTTCAATTAGGAGACTGTGCTCTCTGAAGTGGATTTTTTTCTCCTCTCTTTATTCTTCCAACAGCCTAGCAACCCAGAGATGGTGCTTCATCTTAGATGTTTTTTCTGGCTCCAGAAAAGGTAGAAGAACTAAGAAATTAGCTCTTCACTAAAGATGAGGATCTAAAATTATCTTCAGATAAATAAACAAATTTATATTTACTGTCCTTACAGATGCTTTGAAAATGAATGAAATCCAGTCTGAAGGTTCCCCTGTCTAGCATCAAATAAAGATCAATTTACAGAGTGATAATACTTTCACAAGAAAGGAAAACAGAATTACAGAATTAGTCTTTTGGGCATAACTTACACAAAGTTCATGTGAGTAGCAGTATTTAACAGTACAATTAGACATGAATGAGGAGAGAAAACAGTCTGCCTCTCAGAGGTCAATGGTTCTTATTTCTGTCTGTGACTTCAATTACCATCACCAACTGTTCAGCCTTCATTTCCATTGATGAAGGCTTTGAAATACCTTGAAATGGCATGGACTCAGTATTAGGGAGTTACAGCTTGCATTAAACTAGTAGTTTTGATGTAAAAGTCACTGATTTCTCTAGGATTGAGTGTTGAGAATGGCAAACAGAATCATGTTTAAAAATGCCACAGGTATGAACATGCTTGTTTATCTCATCCCTCTTGTGCTTTCTCAAGCATCAGGATCTTGCATTTATGACCTTTGGTAGGAAGACAATTGCAATTCTGTCATTTCAATGCTGTGGTAACTGTAACTACATGCTTCTTCGTTTTCTCTCTTCAGTTAGGAGCTGAATCTCTGCTGTATGTTGTGAAGTCTTGGATCAGCAAATGGAAAAGAAAGAAGCATTAGATAAATGTACATATTTACCTTTAAACCACTTTTTAGCCTGTCAAATGCTTGGTTAGGAATTCCATGAACACATGAATTGTCATGTGACACATGACACATGAACTGTCCTATGTATGTTTTTGTATCCTTCTTGGGAGTGTAGATCTGAGTGTTGTCTCTTTCAGTGTCCCACAAAGTCTGTATTCAGGAATATTTCCCTTACTATGTTCCCTATGTAATCTAAGCCTAATTATCATATTACTTCAGACTTTTTACAGGTCTGGTGTGAATAGGCCTCCTTTTTTTCTCTGGACTTGTTTCCCAGCTGACTGGATGGCAATTTAAAAATATTGTTGTATTGACTACATCAAAATTCAGGAGGCTAATTTTCAGGATATTGTTTCATTTTCTCTGTGTTCCAGTAACTTTGGTTGTATTACTGATTTGAGTCATGCTTTTCATGTATTGCCTTTCCTGTAGTACAAATAACGAAGTTACATCAAACCTGAAACATTTTGTTCTGTTTTGATGGAAGTCTTTCCTGTGCTTTCACTTTACTTGGAACTCCAGACTTCCCTAATGAATAATTAGTGTGATCTCTAATGTTGGAAGGCTGACATCCTGTCAAATCAGAATGAAATGAAGGACAAATTGTGTACTGTTAACAACAACCTAACTTAGTTCTCAACAGCTTTGATTTGAGCAAAAAAATAAATAAATGATGCAATAAGTATGGGTATTAATGTGAAACATGAAAGCTTAGGGAAATTGTGTGATGTCTTGATGCCCTGATCTTTCTTCTGTAGAGATATAATTTTTAAGTTTTGGCTATGCAACCAAATAAAAGCTAGTTTGCTGTTCTCCTATTCCTCCAAATGCTTCTGCAGTTTACAAAAACAAATATATAACTTTAAGGAATCCAGCATACTTGGGAAAACCTTCTTCAAGACAGGACTCAACACATCACAGTTGACCTACATAGCAGAAGGGCTGCAAAAGCTTGATTTGTTTCACCTATACCTTGTGCTTTGTTCAAACTTGTACTGTTAATGCCTCATTTTTCTCTAAACCAAATTCATAAAACACATATTCACATAAATTTACCTGCTCCTCAAATTCTTTCTTCCAGTTTAGGATGCTCTGTTCTAGACTTTTCAAAGTGAGGACTGATCTCCACAAGCCTCCCACTTTTGAAAGTGTCAGGTGTTTTTATAAAAGGCTGCTGTGACATGAAACAGCATTCCCCCTCTAGCAATCGTCCTTAACTTTTGAGGCTTTCTTGTATTTTTAGAATGTGCTTTAAAGGGGATGTATTATCCCACTAATAGTGCTCACTGACAGCTGAGAAAAGGATTCATATAGCATTTCATAGGTCTATAACTTGTTCAATTTTTGAGTGCACTATTTGAACTGATCATAAAAAAACTTCTAATGAACTCTTCCCACAGAAACTGAAACAGAAGAATCAGCAGCTGAAGCAGATCATGGATCAGTTACGAAATCTTATTTGGGACATAAATGCCATGCTGGCAATGAGGAACTGAACAAGGAAAATCAAACTTTTTAACAGAAGAAGATACAAATCTGTTTGGATATACTTATCTTCCTTGTAAGAAATAACATGTTTTTCCACAATTACATTGCAGTAATGTTTGAAAAGTCTTCAAGACTGAAATGTTGGGTCATTTTCTATTAATGTAAATGCTGTTGGGTATTTTTTTTTTTTTAGAAGATTCAACCTGTAAGTTTTACCTGTGTGATTCTGCTGTACAGCCTCAGTAATTTACTGAGTACTCAGTAATTTACTACAGTAGCAGTTTGGATTGCTATGCAGATAGGGGTTTTATAAATAAAATGTTTCTGAATTTTCTTTACAATACAATTAAAAATTATAAAAACATATGTCTATATGCCATTCTGCAGTGCAAATAGCCTTTACAGAGAGGAAAAGTTGCAAGACAGGAAAGTTGCTCCAGTAAGCTAGAGGGCTGAAATCAACTATCAGATACTGCAACTCAATCTGCAGTATTTTATATATTATCTGCAGTGCAGAGCAGAGCAGGACAATCCCCTGCCTTGCCTGGCTGACCATGCTGGGCCTGATGTCTCCCAGGACAGGGTTGGCCCTCCTGGCTACCAGGGTACTGCTGGCTCATGGTTGATTTGCCACTGACCAGGACCCCTAGGTCCTTTTGCACAGCACTACTCTCCAGCCTCTCATTTCCCAGTCTATACACACAGCTGGGGCTGCCCCATCCAAACGCAGAATCTGGCATTTGCCCTTGTTAAACTTCACACAGTTGGAGATTGCCCAGTCCTTTAATTTGTGGAGGTCTCTCTGCAGGGCCTTTCTGATCCCAAGGGAGTCAACAGCTCCTCCCAATTCAGTGTCATCAACAAACTTACTCAGTATTCCGTGGAGTCCTGTGTTGAAAAGCACAGGGCCAAGGATGGAGCCCTGCAGAACCCCCCTAGTGACAGTCACCAGTCTGATGTGCCCCATTCACTGTAATGCTTTGTGCCCAGCCCATCAGCCAGTTGCTTACCTATCATGTAACTCAGTTATCCAGCTGTGTGCTGGACATTTTGTCCAGAAGGCTTCCATGGGAGACAGTATCCAAAAGCTTTGCTGAAATCTGAAAAGATTACATCTCTTGGCTTTCCTAGGTCAGCTAGGTGGGTTACCCTGCTATTCAACAAGCATGAAACCATGCTGGCTACGAAGAACTGCAACCAGTGTATTTCTGTAGCATTATGTATGGTTGAAATACTTTGGTTTTGTTTACCAGTATGCACTGAATAAAGACCACATTAATCTTTTCCCTGTGACTATCAGTCCTAGCAAACTTTGGAGTATATGAGTAGTTCACTATTTTGAGTTAATCATAAACCTTCATCTTTCTTTGTTCTAACTTTGTTACTCCTCACAATTTTTGTTTGTCCTGAAAATAATCTTGAATATTGTTGTTGTCCACAGATGCTGCCAGTGTGTATGTGTCTCTTTCTCCAGATGAAAAAATACATAAAACAACAGTTTCAGTATAAATCCACAGGGCACTTTACTCTTAGTATTTGTCAGGTTGAAAACCAGCCATCCTCATGATTTGTTTCTTGTGTATCAGCCCAGTCAGACTCCATAGTAGCTTTGTGTGAAAGACTTGATCAGAGCCTCCTGAAGGGTCTGGTTAAATGGTATCCTTTCAAAAGCTACCTTTTTTTGCAGTCTGATGGTTTGATACTGGATGCTTACTGATTTGAGATTCATAGATTTTAATGTTACACTGATTTTTCATAGTCATAGAATGGTTTGTGTTGGAAAGGACCCTGAAGATCATCTTGTTCCACCATCTCTGTCACAGACAGGGTTGCTCAGAGCCCCCTCCAGCCTAACCTTGAACACTTCCATGGATGGGACATCTGTAGCTTCTCTGGGCAACCTGTTCCAGTGTCTCACTGCCCTCACAGGTGTTTTGTTGTTCTATCAGTCTCTTTAATTCTGTTTTTTTAATTTCAACCCATTCATCTACTCCTTGAGATAAAAATCACTGGTGACAGATCAAATCACACCTGGTTACTAATATGTGACTTTTCCCTGAAAATAGGTACAATATAGTTGTATTTTGCTTCTCTTTTTAAAGGCTGTAAATATTGACAGATGAATGGATGTCCAGTCTTAGAGTTGAAAATAAAGTGTTAGAAAATGTTGATTTTGATTAGTTTACCTGGTGTTGAAAGTGATCTTTATGTATGACAATACCTAGATGTGAGTAGATGTCAAAACACCTTACAAATAAGATCTCTCCCTCTTTCTCCCATGTCGCAAATGCTAGAGTAGGTATCTTAGTCTGACAAAGGTCACAGGAGAAATGTTTGTTCCCTGTTTAGATTCATCACTATGGAAGATTTTCTGGTCAGAAATAATAGTTTTTTCTGCAGCTGTGAGAGTCATAACTATTCTGTATGCAAAGCTTTTGAAAAGGAGATGACTGCAAGTAGAGATTTTACTTTGTTGTTGGTTTAAAATGCAAATACATTTTTCTATTTGCAAGCTGTAGTGGCAGCTTTCTGTTTAGTGCATGCATAAGCATGCAAGCAGCCTAGAAGAAGTATTTGAAGTGGATTTTGAAATGGCACCATCATCTTAATTGTGAGTGTAAAACTCTCAGTTCTTCATATTTTTGTTCTATTTTTGGAACAATTATGGAAAACTGAGATTAGTCTAGACTTCACTGTACTGCTCATACAGCATCTAGGTCTTCCTACTAAATATGTTTAAAGTTTGGTGACTTTTTTATTACACAGAAACAGTACAGAAGTAACCTAAAATGTGAATAAGAGTGCAGCTATTGCAAGTCTGGGTGATAAAATATTCAGCTTTCTCTGTGCAGCTGCTAGCAGTAGCCAAGGTCTGTACTACAGTTTTTCATCTGGGAGAGAGGAGAAGCACTTCAAACCATTACCAGAATAGATGGGCAGTAGCTAAATTGCAAAGTGCAGAAATAGACAGAATTGTAAATTATCACAGTAAATACTGTCAAAGCAGGACTGTGCAAGGTGTTGGACCAAAACCATACACTTTGACTTACATAGATGAAAGTAAGGGTAGTGAACATAATTCAAATGCTATTGGATCCGTGAATAAGTATAGGATTTGGCCAAGAAGATGACAGTTTTAAGAAAAGTGGCAATTCCTCAGCTGTGAAACACTTGAATGAATTACTAGGCATCAACATGTGCTGAAATTTAGTATTTTATTAATGCTAACTGAACTTAAACTGCTGGTTAATGAAATGGCACCAGATGAAGTATTTACAAATACCAGTAAAGCAATACAAACACAGATGTTTCAGTGTTTGGTTTATGTATCATTGACTGTTATATCATTATATATCATTGAAATTATCTTCATGCTTCTGGCATTCCCCTACTTTCCTCATCAGGCTGGTGGCTCTCAGAATTGCTGCCTGCAACAATGCTGGACTTGCTGTCCCTTCTGAACACACAGAGCTCTGACTGGCTCTGGAAATGCCCCCTCTTCATTCACATCAAGTGTCATTTTCTTGGGACTGGTAATAAGTAGAGCTGCTTACTAATGGTTGGACTTAATGATCATAAAGGTCTTTTCCAACTTAAATTATTCTATGATTCTGTGGTTGTTTTTATATTTTTGATAAGGCAGAAGCTGGATAAACATGCTGGCACTTCCAAAAGCAAATATTATAACATAGGATCATTATATTTTTGGAATATAAAAATATTTGAGGGTTTTGGATTTCCTGGGGCTTTGTTTTACCCAGATAGGACTTGGAAGAATAGAGTTACAATGCAGAATACTTCAAAGCATATTTGTGGGAATAGTCCAAGTTAACACACACTCTCAAAATACAACCATTTATCCAGCACCTTTGTAGACAGAATAGCAGATATTGAATGTGTGGTTCAGTGTCACAGCACAGAAGATGCCTGCTAGGCAGTATGAAAAGGTACCATGGTTTTTCTTACATAAAAAGACAAAAGTTCAGAGCAGATTTATGCCTTGTTCAGGAAAGATGCAAGGAGCTTACCTTTCCTCTTCCATAGAAGAAGCAAGGCCAAATCCATTACCATTCTTGCTGTTCCAAAGAGAAAAATCCTGTATTGTAGTATTTTTTACTGATGGAGAAGCTGGAACTTGAGCACAAATGCTACTCAAATTAATCACTAAAGAATTGATTTAGAGGGAGAAGGACAAGGATCCTGGTTTCATAGGAATCAAGATTTCATCAGTGTGCAGTATGGCTTCACAAGCCAAAAACACTACAGCTGAAAGGTAGCTGACTACTGCGGTGGAAAACAGTAAGCTTCAGATGTAGATTTGAAGACCTGAAGTTGAAAAAAATCTTTAAAAAAATGTGCAGTGACACACAAAGACACTATGAGTCAGGTGGGGTTGACAGAGGATGTATTACTTCAATTGCTTCATGCTAGCAGAGGAAATGGAGGATTATAAAGGAATTTACAAATATATGCAGAAATAATATTTGGGGAAGAACTGAGTAGTTTTCTCATTCCCCCTATGTTATAGTAATGAAGACTGATGTGGTAGAGCATCAGCTTTAAAAGGAAAGGGGGTTTTCCTGACTTGGAAGGCTGTAAAAAGAACAAGCTGACTGATACCTATTGCAGGATATTAATTAAAGTGACAGAAAATATGTACCAATGCCAGTTTTTATTTAATAAAATGTAATGGATAAGTGGAATGTAAGAGCTAAATAAATACAATATAGTGAAATTTTTGTTAAGTAACTTCTATGTAAATTTTGTAAGGTTTTGGTTTTTTTTCTCATATTGCATAAGGGACACATTCTGGACACATTCTATTACAACACTACAGAGCAAATAACACTATGAAGAATCATTTGCAACAGTGTTTGTATTGATTTAATTTAGTAAGAAGCAGAATCTGTGTTTTCCAGCACTTCTCACCAGATTAGGCCAGTAAAGACCATTCGTGTATTTGAGGTAAATAAGCAGAGGCAAGTTTCCATGTGTCTCCTTAACTCTGGGAGCATCACAGCTCATTATGCCTCTGTGTTCAACTTGCAAGCTGTCTGGTTGTTTGGAATTCTGCTTCTGCACATGTTCCCAGCAGCTGATGGTATCTGATAATCACTGCTGAAGTTGTAAAAACGGTGATTTTTCTGACTAAATCCTATAAGAGACCTGATGTGCTTTGGCCCTCCTTGGTCCCTTGGGCTCTCAATTTCAGCTAACTGAGCCTACTACAAAGCTACAGAGCAACGTTCCAGAATGAAGCTGAAACTGAGTGGATGAATGGAATGAATTACATATATGTCTGTGCTAAAATTTTCTCCTACACCTCTGTGTGCTTATCATGAAATCTTGCTTGAAAAATAAAATCAGATTTGCCTAAATAGGACAGAAGATTTGTGATTTTAAAGTTGTCTGAGTAGCAATGGATAGTAATGCAGTTGGTTTTATAGCCATATAGAGGGTTTAGTAGTATTTACAGTCCTGGAGAGAGGGGAGGAAGTTCATGAAGACAGTCTGCTACTGAAATTCATTGTTGGAGTGGGAAGACTTTCAAACAATAAAGGGGAAATATAAAGAAATAGAACAGCAACAATCAAAACTTGGGTGAGTACACCTTGGCCATAAAATAGAGGCAATGGAAGGGGATTTAGGAAAGCACATTTTAAACATGCATTAAAGAGATAAATTTGATACAGTGAGAGGAAAAACCACTGCAGTTTTGGGGTGTATGTCCAGATATTGTAGGGAGTGTGAGAGCTCTTGCTCTGAAACCAGTGATTCTGATACCACAATTCTGAATGAAATACTGAATTAGTTATGGGGTCAGCATACTAGCACAGTAGAAGAGAAGAATACTGATGTGGTCCCATATGAATAATCATTAGAATAACTCATGAAAGCAAAGACAAGGCTCAAATATAGAAATTCTTCGGTAGATGCAAAGGGGAGGTAATTAGAATGATTTGGAGTGGTTGTACTGTAGAACAGTGAAAGAAGGTAAACAAGAACTTATTTCACCAAAACAGCAGTGAAGAGGGAAACATCTTGGCATTAAGATATGAAATGCTAATTTCCCAACAGTTTAGAAGATACCTCTTGGGTTAGCTGGAAATTTTAAAACTAAACAGCACAAAAAGGCTAAACAAATGTGTTGGGAAAAGGAAAAAAAAAAAGTCCTGTCTTGGATTGGCAGACCAAGAGCTGGACTGAGCTGACCTGACTGGTTTTTCCACCTTTAGACTGTACACTTGTAAAGCATGTTTATCAGATGACTGTCAGATAATGAGTGCCTGAGAGCACCTGGACTGGATGCCACCTGCAAGTATTAAAGAGGATTTCATGTCTCCTTTGTGATGATTTGCTGCTGAAATTCCTCTTCAGGTTAACATGCCCTCATGGAATTTCTATTAAAGAAATCAAATCAGAGCAGACAAAGAAGTGAACCTTGTTTCTCAATCCTTGCTTCCTCACCTCACATCCCAAGCCTCCCACTGCTAGTTTTGATGCCTTTCTTAGTGAAGTAGCTGATACCTGATTACTGTCTGTTGACTCAGTAGAACTTAGGAAGCCTTTTACTAATGGTGCATGTGTGGGTATTTATCCACCCTTCCCATCTAATAACAAAACCAGTGCTTGCATGCCTTGGAGTGTGAGCTGGTGTCACAGTCTGCACCAAGGGAGCACAGACACAGAGGGGTGATCTAAGCATGTAAAATATCTGATCATATTTTGCCTCAGATAAGAAGTAGCATTATAAAATTGTTATGTAAACCACATGTTACTTTTATAGCATTTACACGCATTTCATATATTTTTGTTTGATGTGGGAGTTTTCAA